CATCCATTTAACCCAAAAAGGGTCGAGCGACCATGCAAGGGAGGAAACGAGACAGGCCCCTAAGCCCTGGTCGCCGAGTCGACCACACGTCTCGAACCTGTACTAAGGCGCTCACCTGGACTTCGCGGACAGTCCCAGCAGTAGAGCTTACCCGCTAGGCTAAGGTACTGTTGGTATTTGACGAGGGTGAATTAAAGTCTCTTATAGCTACTTACCTGCAGAAAGTGTTGGGAAAATAAAAATACCACCACTGGGATTCGAACCCACTGTCTGACGATCACATAACCACGAGCTTAACCACTCGGCCATTACAGAGGATTGCTTTGTCCCGTTCATATTCAGAAGATAGCAAAACCATTAGCCTTCATGCATAGGAATTTGCTGTGTAAAGACTGAGCGACTAAAACGCAACAATAGTGTATCATGTAGCAAAAATGCACCTACATACGCACACAAATAATGGTCATCAACATTAAGCGTTCGTCTTCCAAACACCCTTTCCTAGGTAGTTTAAATGCGTGCGCTTCAGCATGTGAAAGTAACTGGACTACCGTCACGTCTGGGCACGTCTATATGCTTGAACTCTTTCATATATACTTTTGTGTTGTGAATGAAAGGCCATTTTTTTCTTTTGGGAAAGGGGGGTTCTTACAAGCATAAAATGACAGCGGAAGGTTGAATCAAGAAACCCAACGGTTCTGCTAAATAACGCATTATGCTGTGTGGCAAAAATACACCTATATACACACAAATACTGGTCATCAACATCAAGTGTTCGTCTTCCTGACACCCTCTCCTAAAATGCGCGCGCATCAATTTGAGAAAGTCCCTGGACTACGTCTGGGAACATTGTCTACATGACTGAACTATAGTTTGATGTTGTGAATGACAGGCCATTTTGTCCTTTTTTGTGGGATGGGGGGATCTTCACTAACAAACAACACGTTATGTCGTGTGGTGGATCTGATGGTGGTTTAAATTCAGACACGTTGCTCTGTGAAGAGAGCCTCTTCACAGAAAATTCCTTCGCTATGAAGATGTAGTTGAAAAGTGAGCAGTCTTCTTGTCGTTGTAAATTGTTGATGTGAATACATGGCAAACACTATGCATAACCCTAATACAGGAGTACCATGTGCTCATGAATATAGGAATACTCGTTGACATAAAAACAAAAAGTTAATAAAACATCCTTTGAAAATACTCAAACAAAAGTTGGATTATTCATCTTGATCGTAACTATACATGCGTTGGTGAGTTTGAAGAAACGTGCACTATCGGCTTCCACCTTATTTTAGTCGTTTATTTATTCTAACCTGCCTACACAAATCTCAAAGCTGAAATGCGAAACTTGGGATATCTCGGCAAACAATGGTCTCCCACTTCTCCCACGATCAAATGAGTCATATGATGCTGGGAACATTCTGAAATCTACAACCGGAGGGATGAAAGAGCCATTGTGTGATATTACCAGAAAAAGACTAATTCCAAAATAAAAAAAAGAAAACACTGCACTTAGAACATGGGAAACGACAGTTAAACGTTCAGCATTATAAGCAGAGGTTACACAGATGTAAAAATTATGTCAAATGTCATCAGAAAAGTAAAAGCCTAGCCATTCAAGAACGTTCTATGTTTGAATACAATATATCTTATTGGTATATCTTTCATCATGGCCACACTAATTACAGGAAACGTTTTTACACGATTCACCAGCAACTGTTTCACGATGTACATGACAGTAAAATGTCATAAAATGGCATCACCAGTTGAAGCACTTCGCGTAGAGGGGGGAGCTATATTTCCTTTGGCCTCAGGCCTCGGGACTCAGACTCTCGTTTGGTCACTCACACTCACTCGTTGTTGCCTGCCAGTCGTTCTTATGGCGTGACGGCAATGCAGAAGTAAAGGAAAAGTTCAAAACCAAAAATAAAAGAAAAATTCCTACCTATCAAAGCCCCAATCAATAGATAGCACCCCCAAATGATAGACTACTCGAAAAAACCAAACCAAAACCAAGCCTAACCAAACCAAACCGGTACAGCAGGGACCCCAGACAAATCAGCAAATTGTGTATAACTCATCTTCTGAAATGCACACTTGATAGCACGACTGCATGGGTCTTGAGGTTCTGCAACCCAGTACAAGTGTCGCGCAGCTCCGTGGATCTTTTTTTATCCCATTTGCCTGTACTATACTGTAATAAGTAATAAATAGAAAAAGTTCGGTGGAAGACTTCTACTTTTTGTTTTACAGTGTGTTTCTTTTATGGATTGATAAACTTGTGCATTATTTGTGTTCCTTCTTTGAGACTGGATAAGTAATCCTCAGCTTTGAAAATGTGGATTTGATAAACTTAATGATTAAAAACGAAAAGTCCACCGGCTAAGTTTCCTTTTTTTTTCTTTTTTTTTTTGAATTTTGAACATTTAATTTTCCTAACTCTCCGTGGGGTTAGAAGTCTTAGATTTTCAAGCCATTCCCCGATACAAACAAATCCAACCTGAAGCCTGCACCTGCCACAACGATCCTCAGGTAAGTTATAAAAAATCCTCAGGTAAATGAAGTTGGAAGAGTCTTTCAGGAAGACTCAACACGTAAAATCAAAAGAAAAAATAACGACATTTGACCGCGCACTAACGTACCTACGATGGTCGTGTATCTTGTGCAGTGGGCGTGGTTTAAACTGAATTGGCATCACACTTACGAACCGGATACTCCATGTACTATGTTGGACTCCGCGGGCGCGCGCGAGCAAGTTCAACACAGAGAGCCTCGGTTCTGGTGCAGATATGCGCAGACGGCGCTAATGTAAAAATCCCTCAATAGCCATTCAAGAACGTTTCTGTTTTTATACAAAAATACACATGTATTTTTGGTTGTTTTTAATGTCTATTAACAAAGCTACACTGATCAAAGAAAAGAAATTTTTACATAACTCGCTAACAAGTGTTCTAAGATAATACACTAATATAATGTCACAAAATGACGTCACCCGTTAGACACACTGGCGTCGCGGGAGGATCTTATTTCCTTTGTCCTTCGGCCATGGGACTCTGACTGTTGTCTGGTCACTCACAGTCACTTGGGGACTATAGACGTGCAAGAGTGACCTCATTGAATAATCCGAAATATGAATCGAAATAATGTAGTCGTACTCCTTTTATCTATAGGGGGCACAAACGCTATGACATCCCTCTGCAGTACAATTCCCCTTCCCCCATCAACTGACGCCTGTGACTGAGTGGAGCAGAACATGATGAGCCAATGTTAAAAGTGTGAAGTTGGAGCTCTCAAACGTTCGACTCGTAACGGGCTCTCGATGATCAGCAGGAATTGCCAGGCCGTTTTAGATATTTATGAATTACTAAGCGATGAATAACAAGTTAAGAAAAAGGCGAATTTTGCTACTGAGTCGGGCGTAAAACAGAGATTTTCTCCTGAAAATTGTATTCACCCATATTGAACCCATTACCTCCAAATGAAGGCGCTGGTGCCGTTTCTGAAGCATTGGGCCCGTTTATTCCTAATAAAATACATACCCCAAAACGGAACATCGCGACTTTGTAGGTTACTTAATTGAAACCTTTGTTTGCTACGTTTTTTGTACACCAGAACAAAAAAATACGACTGAATGAACGAAGTCCGTAAACAAACACCAATTTTATTCACTCTTTTAGGCCTAATGGGTTACACTTTGGCTTCGTAAGTTGCACGTAGAATTTCTAATCTCTAGAAGCCCGTTTGTGTGCCTCGCCTCAGCAATTATCCCAATACCGGCTTAGTCAGAGGCTAGGCCAAATCTCTATCAAGGACTCCCAAACATTCTCCAAACTTTCAAACAATTGAGATACGCATGTTGCAACGCAACTCTCTCTGTAATCATAAACGGCTCTCCAACGACACAGCAACAGCGCCCTCGGGCGTCGGAAGAAAGGGAGGGGCATATACTCGCCACCCAAAACGGACGGAAAATCCTCTTCTATCATGTCTATGTATGTGTGTAATTTCAATTTGACTCAACGATGAACACAAAAACATGAACTGTATACCATGTGTATATAAAGCAGGATTTTATACATAATTTTATTATCATAGATTGATTATTGGAACATTATACAAGTACATTTGAAACACAACAATATTTGAGATGCATGGCAAGCGGCATAGGTTAACCCTCCATCAGAAATATTCAATTATTTCCCAGAGTCATTGCCACACTCTCTGAAGCCCTGCAATAGACGGAACTTAAAGTTTGTGCAATAACATCTTTTATTGTAAATGTCACTACACCGTGTGGCTACTGGTCTTAACTATGAAACACTAGGAACGGCTGTAAATACTGCCTTCATTAAAATAGTTCATTACAAAATTTAACCCGAACATCAAAAACTATGATTTTACAGGAACAAATACATGTGTCAAATTTAAACAAGTCATTCACTTGTTCAGAGGAATGGTGATTTTTATATAATTCTAGCTAAATAAAAGTCATAGCTTCTTGTCTGGTAAAACTTAGGAAACTGAAGAAGGATAAGCGCTGTTGAATGTGCTACAATGTACATGTACATGTAAGACAAAATCAGACCGATGGAAAAAGCCACAAGCGAAAACAGGGCCAGGCTTAGCAGAATTTTACACTATAAACAAGGAAACGATAAAATATCTATACAAAATAATTTTGGTTGCAAAATGTTTGCGTGGTCATTCGGCGGAAAAAAATAATTAAATAGTGCAATCTTTTGGTCTTTCTTGTTCTCATTGAAATGCCATAAAACAAAACAGAAAGCGAAGGACAAGAAACAGCTCCTTGAAGGACATCCATTTGACTGCAATAATGAAAGGCTACGTAGCAAGGTTGGAAAGAAAGGAAGTAATGCTACATGTACACATGTGAACAGTAATTTTACACCTAACACATATGTACATGTATTGTAGATTTCTTTCCATTCAATTCAATCCTGGTTTGACGTGCATTAATTTTACAACCATCAGTGACAATCATCAGTGTGGTACCTGCACTCTTGCCTGGGAATATTCAATTCATTGTTTAATACTAAGACTTTGGGGTCCACCATGAGGTTTATTTTTATACAACACCTGAACAAATCTCCCCTCATCTGATTGGTGGGTCATCAATCAAGTGTGATTGTCTAATTGTATACTGAACGGTGTTACTGTTAAGTATGTCCCATAAACGTGACAACATATATCATAGAACTGCATGTTTAGTAAGCACAGTAGCAGCACTTTACACACACAGACAAAATTTCAGTCTTGCCTCAGATGGAGTAAACTTTGTGTCACACTTTTATGCTCAGCTGAGAAAGTAAAAATTGCTGGCTTCTACACAAGCATGACAAGGGACATTTATTCAGGTACTGCATGAAACAGATACATATACAAGAAATGAGAGTTGCACCTTTATGCGAGGGAAAGAAAAATTTCATTCAGCAACACATTCAATAAATTACTCTTACCATTCATATTTTTTCTACCTACCTGAGATAGAAATGGGCTTGTGAGGTGTTATAATGATAAATACCAACATGTACATGTACATACAGTGTACATGTACATCTATATCTCATTGCTTCGTGAAGTGGATGCATTGCACTGTTGTGAAAGTCCATGCCCGTGTTCAAAATAATTCAGGAGTAGAAGTCCATTTTTCTGGAATTTCAGCGGAAATCTTCAGCAGTGAACATGCCCTACGTTTGCAGAGGGAAAAAAGAAAGAAAACATTAAGAACTGCAAAGAAACGGCATCTGGAAACATGGTAGGTACATGTAAGTACATAAATAGGCATGAGGAATTTTTCGAAGTTTTCCACATTCCTTTTAATACTGACCCATTGTGCAGGTAAGTGTTAAGTGTTTAAAAATAAAAGCAGCAAGGGAGGTCTATGGCATTTATTTAAAATGAAATGATGGACCAACTCTTAAAAGGTTAACTTGTACAGCAGTTGCCCGTATAAAGTGGGCTGTTGAGACTTTTTGCTCTACATTCAAACTACAACAGACAATTGATATGCATCTTCATTTCCAATGTCGCATTTTCTCCAAACTGCTGCTGCCTGGGTTTGATTCCTGGCCCAATCCACATCAGGATTGGATTCTCAGAGCCTATTAGATTTTGTGGGTTCACCCAGAATATTCTTGTGGGATTTTCCTCCGCGCCTCTAAAACTCATTGTCTCTTCTCTGCAGGTTCTTTTGGGCATACAAGCTACAGTTCCAAGGATGCTTTAGAGGAATCCTTGGTTTTGATACCAGCAGTGTTTTTAGCTAGCGAGTCATGCAGCCGTGTTTTCCACGGCCAGTTTTGTGAAATGACGGCCCATTTTTTCAAGCACGGCCTGGCGTGCAAATCAAGCCATGCACTACTTAATTCGAGGCTTGTGTAATCTAGATGCCAAAAATGTGAAAATAAAATCTGAGCTAAAAGTCAGTCTTTTCCCATGCTTTTTCCCCCGTCAACCAAGTCCACAGTAGAAAATACGCTGCAGTAAAGTACATGATTGTACGCTGGGACTATAGTTCGGACGTTTGGTTCAAACATACAGTATCAACACCGGCAGGCGAGTTCCGTTACTTACGAATGATGAAGTACAGCACCATCTCTATCAACTTGTAACAAAATGAATACATGGAGCCATACTTGTTCACCAGCGATCGATCATACATGTAATCAACCTCATTTCCATGATGATTGTTAGTCGCCATATTGCGCCAAGTCTCGCTAGCGCTTGAGGTAATCTGTGGGGACGAGGTCGACATATAATCGTTTCGGGGCTTGCGCTGCGTGCTCACTATATCATCCAGAATGAAATGAAAAATAACAGATTTCTTCTCGAAGGCAAGGGCTGACCTTCATGTAATCTTTGTTATTGTCAATAATCAGCATAAAGCTTGTTTAGGTTCTTCTACCATAACAACGGAAAAATTGACGAACTCTTCCAATGCCATATCCAGAGTCATGCACAAGCGCGAGCACTTGGCCTGCCTGTGGTGTACGTGGGTGCGTGTACAATGTGCATGTACATGCACTATGCATGTACGACATGTTTTTCATCCACACTGAAGTCGAATCTTGTACTAAATTTGCTCGTTCTTAGCCAAGCTGCCGAAGAAAATATGCATGTAGGAATATTGGGATTCATTTTATATCATTATTTATTTTTCTTTGCTTATCACATAATAATCTGAATGTACTGTGTTGCAAACAAAAAGGTACAAAAACATGCGGTGTCAAGTACTGACCTGCATTACCTAGTACCTGTATACCATTTTTTAAAACAAAATACATGTAAAGTGGTTATGAGAAATTTGTTCAATGGTGCTTCTCATTGTTCGCTTCATTGTAGCAGGGCTGATTAATCCAATTTTAAAACAACACTTGCACACAATTTTACAATTTAATTTTTTTTTAAAAACTGGGGTTTTTTGGGTTCGAAAAGACAAAACTCTCATGAAAAAATGTCCAAAATTCATCAGAGACCACCACAGAGCATCTAAAATAGGCAGACCTTCCAGGGCCCTTACGCAGGCCCTGGATCCTGGCCGTAGGGGACTTCGCGCTACACGGTCATGTTACGTGCTTCAAGTTTGCACACAAATTTTGGACTCTAACAAGATTGCACTCCCTGTTTTTCATTTTGAACTCCGACTTTTCAAATCCTAGCTGAAACACTGATTACCAGAAATGTTAAATCATAGTAATAATAATAAAATTCTACGTGTTAAGCAAAGAAATCCTACCTTCGCCCTGCGCAGGATGGAGTCCTTGTTTGGGTCATAGGGGCTGTCCTTGGAGGGAATCTCTAAGACGGCAGGTATGGGGTCTGTGTGGTTGTCCAGCAGGTGCCTAATCAACTCGGCATAGTTCTGATTGATGAGGATGATGGCGATGTCTGACCGCGTCACGAAGCTCTTGAAACTCTCCTCAATTTCATGGACGCTTGTATCTATACAGAAAGATAACTTTTCCCTGTTTATTGAGACAGCTTTTCAGCATACATGTATCGCACATTGACTTCCCCAACATGTCCTTCCATTACTCCCACACATCAATCTCGCCCCCCTCCTCTTACCTCTTCATTACTCCATTGCCCCTCTTACAACTGCCCTTGATCATTAACAATACCCTTCCTTTGACTACCAATCCACTTTGTTGGACCCTTTTCCTCACTTCTACCCACCCCAAGCCATTTTGCAGTTCCTAAAAGTCTCTCAAATTTTCCAAGCTCCCCATAGTGCTCATTTACAAGAGCTTCCTTCTATCAACTACAGGTACCCCTCTTCTCAAATTACAATGTACCTCTCCAACCCCCCAAACCTCATCCTGCATCTCAACTGCTTCATTTTAACTGCCCCTTCCAACTAACCAGACTCTGGTCAAATAGACTTCCCAGAGTGGTGAACAAGGTTGCATAGGGCAAGCAACAGCTGAGAAAATGGGAGCCACTGTACACGTACATGTTTATTTATGCAGGGGTACAAGTAATCCCATGGAAAAATGCAACTGTGGAATCCCATGGTGGCTGGCAACGGAAACAGGGCTTCAATTGAACAGGGTTATGATCGTGGGCATCGTCTTGATTTTTTTCTAGGAGGGGAAGTACTCATCAGCAGCAAAATGAAAACCATTAATGGTCAGAGGGTGTCAATTTCAAAGTGATTTCAAACAAATTGCCGATTCGTGATTTTCATCCCATTTGATCCCTTCGTTCATTTGTCTCAACGCCTCCCTCCTGCCGCCCCACCCACGGTTAGGGTTATGCCACCCCTCAATCAGCGATCCCTTCTTCAAAAGCTCTCCTCTTTATACTGAACAACCAAGGTACCGGTACCCCCCCTCCCTACTTCCTCATTTAATAACAATCACCCACAAAATGGATCTGTTTACCTTTTTCAATAACTACAAAGTTGGGATGCCTCTTGTTATTCAACTCGCCAATGCCTCCAAGGAGAAATCCTGTGCAGGTATCCTGCAAAAATGAAAAGTGTTTTCATCCTTAACTCCAAGGCTAAAGCATTTTCTGCTAGAGCTCCATGACTAGACTGAGGGTTGAGGGTTACCCTGGTCACTGTGAGGGTTACCCTGATCAATGTTAGGGTTACCTTGATCAGTGTTAGGGTTACCCTGGGCGTTGTGAGGGTTACCCTGATCTCTGTGAGGATTACCCCAGTTAGTGTGATGCGAGGGCAACCCTGGTCAATGTGAGGGCTACCCTGATCACTGTGAAGGTTACCCCAGGGGGATTTGCGGGATCGGGCAGGTCATGTCATAAATTTGCTTGCTCGAATTGGATCAACAATTGCCAAAGATTTCTCAGAATCCACGATTACTGTTATTTAATTACATGTGTCTAAGGCCTACTGCATACATGCAGTCTTTTATTAGGCCAAAAAAATACTTGATGTAGTTGTGATGTGCATTTTTTTTTTAGGGTAATTTTGTGCTGATTGAATGGCATCATTGTGGGCAACAGCCTCCAAAATGCATGTATCTCAAAAAGAGATGAACACCTGTCTTAATCTATGTAAAAATTTCTACATACGGCAATTCACAAGAAAATTATGATCAATTCACACAATCACGACGGCAATCACGATGACAAACTGGCCAACATGTCCATATACCCCGCGGTAAGCGTGCATTATGCATCTAGACCAGCAGCGCTAAACCTTGTGCCATGAGCAGAACAACTTCAAATTACACTCATGAACACGGAAAATACATACATACATGTAAATAAGAGACCAAGTTCCGTGAATTAACTTGCAGAAAACCTCTTGCAGCATAACATTGGTGTCTTTCCGGCCTGCAGCCTTTTGCATTCACGACGTGTACGGCCAATGAAGAGTGTTTATGTACAGTACATTCAGTACATGTACAGTACAGACTGGTACTGGTTGCTGCATTTTCACCATGCATTCTTTTGCGTGGGTGCGGTGCGGCGGGAACCAGAGCAGCTTCATTTAATGCATAGAGTTTTACGCACAGGTTTTCACCACTGTGACAGCGCAAAGTATTATGGGATGATTTCATGTCTGTGCAAGTAAATGACAAGGGCCGGTAATTGATCAGCCCTGATGAATACCTTGGGTATAATTAACATAATTTTAACACAAAACTGACACCATAATCCCATATATTGTGTTAATATTTTAAAAGCTGAGTGTTATTCATATGTTGGTCAGACAATTTGTCCGAGCATCTTTGATTTTGTTCGAACAAACCATGGAGGTACAATAGGTGCTCGGAAAATGTCCGACCCTGGTGAGGGCTACCCTCTGTGAGATTTAGTTCAGTCCCTTGTATTGGCATTAATTGTTATCTTTATTGACATGGGAATCAATTACATGGTAAATTTCCACAAAACAAACAGCCCCAAACTAGGAAAAGTCCACCGTTCGTTGATATCCCCCATATGGGCCTTGCGTTACGTTAGTGCTCATTTTTGCATAAGGTTAAAAATATATTTGTGGGGTTAGGCATATCATTCCACATTCATAAATACAATAACAGTGTCACTGATAACTGGCCTACCTCGTCACCAATCACGGCGATAAGTTTTCCTTTTCCTGCGTGTGCCATTCTGTAACTTCAAGTGGAAGAAACTCATCTAATTCCTTAGGTTCCTTGCAGGTGTACTGACGGTATACACGTACAGTATATGTACTGTACATGTACATGTAGGCTACATACAGTAAACAGTGCAACGTCATGTGACTTCATGGCACGTTTAATACTGAATACACCATTAATGGTAAGGGTGAGGGATTATTCTTTCAAATTTTAAGTTGAGAAACAAATGCCAATTTCCGTTATCTTATAGATCAAAAAAATATTTCAAGATAATAGAAAAAATAATTTATTAATTAAAACCTTTGTTACAAAACTCGAAGAATGTAAATTTCATGGAGAATGTTTCCCTTCCCCCTCCAAGAAATGAAATGGTCATTTTTATATCTGAAAACCTTCTTAAAACCGCAAATTGATATAGTGATGTCGGCAGAGAACCAGACTAAATAGAAACCGGCTAAAAGATGAAAAAGATGTAGAGTGCTAGTGTGATGTGTGAAGAAGCGAACCTATTGTACATGTACATGAAACACAGGGAGAATTACACACGTACATGTACGTAACTTGCCATGACTAGGCCTATATATGTAATTTTTTAGGTCATTTTTATAATCCAGTTTGGGCTTTTGTTGAAAAGCTGTTTGCTCGTACTAAGCATGTTTTGTATTTTGACTCATTGGACAAGATAGTACTAGTACAAGGCTGGTACAACCGCACCGAGGCTAGTCGTTTATCTGGCCATCATGTTTCAGACATATGTCTGCTTAGTCATGTTAGTATCGCGCTCATGTGTCTTATGCCCCAACTATTTAGTATACTTGGGATAGTCCCAACTAGGCCGATATAGTTCTGCAGTTGGGCTGGCCCAACTTTGGTTGCCAATCTCTGTAGAACATTTCTCAACCTTCTCCAAATTTATGCAGCTCACTCCTGACATGTATGGCACTTAATGTAGATTATATTAAAAAAACTTATAAAAAGCCTATAAAAAGGCTTTTCTAAAAGCACAAGCCATGCAAGCTGATGATGTAAACATAATGGCCTTGGTGTGGCATATGCAAACACAGTCTGAACTTCAGTTGTAAGCCTTATCGCAAATACTGCATGGGTGATTTTACTCTATGGTAGAAGCCATTGTGGGAAGGAAAAAGAAGCAAAATCACCCATTCAGTATTTGCGATGAGGCTTATTCTGTACTATACATGTAGTTGGGTTAGTGCTAGTGGCTGTTAGTCTGAGTTACATTGTACCCCTCTTGTCACAACTGTCATGACTGTAGGGTCCAACTCCAACATCCACCCCGCATGGGAGTGGGCGGATGTCAGACTCCACAGTTCTAGGGGTACATGTAAGTTGCAGTCGCAGACTCCTCACTATGATGTCTAATACCCGCGGTGTGTCCACCTGTTAACCCTAATAGTCCTCAGTTCTCCAACAGGTGAAGGACTGAGGACTGTTAGGGTTAAAGAGCCGATTTTGTAGAGTCCAGTTACTCTGATCAGAGCTGTCCCAACTGTGCTGTGGAGTGTACTTAGTTATGTGGAAGGATTGGCATGATTGGATACAAAACTCATGAAAAAAAACACAATTACATGTAGATTAAAAAAATGTGAGAACTGGGTTGTTAAAAAGGTTTTTGTTATGGATCAATTGGTTCACTGGCAGTAATTCAATAATTGCAGCTTTGTTTGTAACTGACATCCCACTGATTTGGCTCCTTCCCCTCCCTTCCCCCTGTCTCCACAGTCTTTCTTGAAATCTGTCCCACTATGTTCCTTTTCTTAGTTTTATGTCTCAGTATGATTTCACAATACTCCTTGGCTGCCTTTGCCCAAAAATATATCAAAATTGGTGTTTTCCAATCAAAGTTGGACATGCCCATCTCTGTCGACACTTTTGGACATGCCCCAACTGTATTTTGAACACGGTTTGGGCAGTGGCATACATGTACATGTAGTTTTGCCTCTGAGAGGCGGAATGACAAGCTCAGTAAAATTGGGAGGCATGGATATGGTCAGGCAAGGTCTTCATGTCCTAGTATACGGGGTAAAATATGGACATAATAGGTTGCAAGACCAGGTTTTACTCAGACTTGAACTTAAATGGGGCTGAAGATGGTCAGCCATTGACGTGCTCCTCCCTCCCCAGTTGGAAATCCGTGCCTCAAGCTCCCTATTTGAAGTTTGGTTTTAGGATGCCTGGCAACATGCCCTATCATGCCTCGAATCCATACACTATTTGCACTGACCAGCATTAAGGTTGCGTTGTGACATGAGTGATGACCTTACTTGGGCCTCGGGATATGTCACATTCTTCTCCTGTTTTGGTGGCATGGCAAAAAATGTGTATGAATTGAATTTAAGAGATGAACATTGCAGAGTCTGATTAGCATGTCACTTCCTCACAAGATCTGTGAATGAATTCATTATAAAAAGTTGCAACTTGTCACACTGATGACAATGCATCATTTTATTGACCGTAATCTTGTTGATTGTTCCATATTTCAGAGATGTACAAGTAATAACCAACGGAGAAATACCGTATCATAGTTTGCGTGGTTGAGGTGCGATAATGCCTTTCATCGAGGGCATCGGAGATGAAGTCACAGTATTGGCATCAGTTCTCATTCTTGCAACCACTCTTCTGGTCGCCTGGCTCTCAACGTCTGTCTCAGACAGGCCTGGATTGCGGACTGTCCTCGGAAGCAGATTCAGCAGTGCCAGAGAGGAGGAGCACTCTAGAGAGGCAGAGGCCAGAATCGAGGAAGTCGATGTGCTCAGTAACCAGCGGACTGATGGCACAGAAAATACAAGGTTAGAGCGTGACAGCTCACCAACAACGGACACAGTTGAAGATGCTTCACAGAGTTCAAGACAACCAGCAGAGAGCACTGAAACTGAAGCTCTGTCCAGTGAATTTAGGACAGGTCTTGAGGAAATTGACTCTGAAAGAACTAAACAAAGTTCGCTAAGTCAAGAAGATGCCACGGTCACGGAAACTTCACCTGCAAGTGTTGTCAGAAACAGGCTAACTGGGGAAACGTGCACGTATCCCACATCCTCAGAAAACACTGACAGCCGACGTATTCCCACCAGTACTACTAGTCCTGCACAGAAGGATGGCAACCAATCAGGAGATGCAACACAGACTATCACCGATGAGGGTGCCCAATCAGATCCATTGTTAGAGCAGAGCCCCAGAAATAGGCCAGATGCTGACCAATCAGGGGAACAGTCACAAATTGATGGTCAGGGGCAAGCTGCAGAGGGCACCATCTGCATCCGTATAAAGTATTTGACAGACCAAGAGAGGGTAGTTTATGGAGATCCTGCTGAGACTCTTGGTAGATTCAGGCAGTTAGTATTAAGTTTACTCACGTCATGAAATAATTTGCTTTTAGAATGCAATTTTGTAACAACACAAAGAAATAGTCCCCATTTTTATTTCATTCATTTCCACATTCCAGTGTACTCAAACTTTAAAAGAAATGATCGGATATTTGATAATTGATTAAATATTCAACTACTGCATCTGAATAATCAGTAAAACCGTACTTGGTTTAAATACAGCGGAATACTTATGCTCAGCAATATCATCAAAATTTGCCCTTTTTGTAACCGTTTTTAGAAATATGTATGTGTTTACTTCATGTTTTCATGGGAATTATTATTATTATTGAAGTACAACTTAAATATTCATTGCAAAGGAAGGTCAAATATTCAGATTTTTAGGTTGTTTAAATAATCAACCCAGCCTTAAAACCAAAACATCTCCTCACTTTTTTGTTCTGATGTGGGATGCAAATTTCCAAAAGATATATAACTACTGGATATGTTTTGCTGTAATGCATAGGCGGGCATTCTCTGAAGAGATCAGCTCTGGACAGACGGTGCGACTCATCTTCAATGGCCAGCTCCTTCAAGATGACGATTCCACCCTGGCAGCCCTCAACCTGTCCCAGAACTGCGTCATCCACTGTCTCCTCTCTCAAAGCACGATGTTGTCCAGTGCCCGGCTGGACGTTCAGGACGGGGACGTAGATCTGGGACGCTACATGATTCCGCTCTTCACCTGCATCCTGGGTTTCGTCTGGTACCTGCGCTGGCAGTACAGATACATGTTCAACGCCACGTCCACTCTGTCCCTGGTGGGAGTCACCACACTGTTTGTTTTAGCTGTTCTTGCCAGTTGGCGAGGTTGAGTAGGCCATATTCGAGACAGAGGGTGTTGTTTGTAAAGAACACAAGTGTACAGCAGTTTTAACATGTATTTATTTGATTGAAAATGTACACTAACCCATTCAAATGGGCAGTAAGTGGCCCCTACTTTTCGACGGGGGAATGGCCCCTCTCCCCATTTTACAGACTTGTCCTATAATGGGATGGGGCTTAATAGATGGTCTCACAATCCCCCCCCCACTAAGAAAGTTATTCCACGGCTGTTGGCCATGGCCCCCCAAAAAGAGGCATATGTTTTTTGGGGGGTGAAGTAGCACGTTTTTCCACTTTCTTCTCAGATTAGTTTTAAATTATTTAAAGAAATTTTCACCCCCCCCCCAAAAAAAAACTGTGCCCTCAAAAATTGGGCTCTGAACAGAAGCATGACAGTGCAACCAAAAGGAGAACGGTTTTGCATGCTTTTCCAAAAGATAGGTGCATCCTTATAATGTGCGTTGTTCTTGTGGGCTGTGGGCGGAGCAACAATGAATGAATCTATTTCCATGCGACAAACGGGGGTCTGGTAAGATTTGAAGGTTTGCACTGTGAAGATAGCAATAGTGACGTGATTTGCGGAGACACCACGTGATCTGTCTCTTCCGTGAGCAGTTGTGGTTCTGATATATGGGTCTAAGTTCACGTTACACCTTCAGAGTTCCACTGGGCAGTGGTCGTTTAATTTCGGAACAACTCCTTTCATTTCTGGTGCAGTAAACACCATTCACATTGAGACCGCAGCTGTACACAAGTGTGATCACAGTCACATGCAGTCTTACATCATCTGCACAATGTGAAGTCGAAATGGTGTGTCCTTGAGATTTTTCCCTTTCCTGCAATTCACAACTCAACCTTGGCAAGGGAAAGTGACATTCAGAGTGTGCCATAAGGATGTTCACATGGCATGTGAAACCTACTCTGCTGCTGAACCAACCATATCAGAAATGGTTCCGGTATTTCTGGGTAAAGTGTTTGGCTGTGTGCTGTGGCAGTGTGCAACACAGATTTCATAGTACTAGGAATAAGGGTTGTATAAAGAGAGAGTAGCACCAGTTTCAAATTTTGGAAACAAAATGGCTGTTCATCATTATGTGCAGTAGAGCATGCAGCTATTGTATATCAACTGTCCGTGTGCACTGGTGCACATGCATACATGACATGTACATGTACCTGCCAGCTTGTTTCCCACGATGGTGACACTCATGTCGCAGCTCTCTCTATACATGGCTCTGGTAGTGGCCACCCACATGGGGCACCTACATGTACATATTATTACCAAGTGACTAGTGCACTGCAGGCTTCTTGGGCTTTCTACTAACGTAATAATCCAGTATCATTTGTATTACAAATACGGTACCATACATGGAAGTCATTTATTTCCTGATATTATCAGGAAATAAATGACTACAAAAGGATCCATGCAATGAATTTCTCTCTTTAGATACTTTTGTGCTTCTTTATACTGTTTTCTTCTTCAATGTATGGAAACTGTTTGACATCCTTTTGGGGTTAAGTTCATTAAGAGGGGCACCTTTTCAAAACATATGGAATTATCCAATTTGAGGGTGCAGTGGCGGTGATATTGATCAGGAAAGGCACTGCTCAGTTTAAACATTCAGTATTTCTGCTGAAATGTGAATCCAACATATGCTCATAGTAATTAGCTCATAGAAAACAATTTTGAGAAAGGGTTACGTGATACACTACGTGTACAACGTGTAGCTCTATATTGCCATGGACTTGCACAAGAAATCCTCAAAGAAAAGGAAATTTGTAGAACTCAAAAATTCTCGCAGATATTTGTGCACAAAATCAATGCATTAACATTGGTACATCTACCCAGGATGACATCACAGTTTTCCTCATGAATATGGAAATTCAGAGCAAAATAAGAAAAAAGGTAGCAAAATACCTGTTGAACAAAAGAATTGGAAAACAAGGCTAATTGAAACCCACATGTTTAAAGTGCTGTAGTATACATATTATATTGCATGACCCTTAAACACATTGACTGCTGCGCATAATTCCAAAGGGGCGTTCTCATTTGCCAAGCGTTGGCCGCATGCGCTCATAGTTAATAAATAGGTACACCATTCTTTTTGAACACGAGCACGTCCTCGACGCTGCCAGCAGTGTATTTGTTGTTACTCGGCGATGCCAGTGTATTCAATTTACATTACAATGCTTTTCACTTCCTACAAATATATTTGTAGTGGCAGGATCCGGTACACCTGTTGCTACGAGTATACTCTCAATGTTAAATCACAAAGCAATAGTACAGTTAGAGCTTTGGAGGGACTAATAAGCTGGTTGGCTTTTGGTACAGTAGAGCATGGACTACAGGGTTTAAGTCAGTAAGGTTTGCAGTCTGCAATCATCAATGTTTCATTTTGTTTGTCAATCCCATGTTAGTTTATCTGATCACTTCACAGCATATCATTTCAGTACTTGTAACTCTCATTTTAAAATTTCTCTTGTATCCTAGGCTTTGTTTCTGTGGCTGAGGCCAGGTTTGGATTGATTTTTTAAACCTGTCTTGGTTAAGTTTTAACCTCTTGAAGTCTTCTTTTTTAAAAAAAAAATTTTAATCAAGATGATCTATTAGTTTTTAGAAAAACCACACTGTTCTATGTTTGAGAGTGTACATGTATTCAGTGATAAAAATGTCTTGAATTAATGCCATTCTATTTCTTTTTGGTGGCGGAATGTTGATAATTTGACATGAAGATGTGGCCGTTGTACCTGCATTTATATTATCTGAAGGGAATTCAGTTGTTTCTACATGATAAAAAAAATTTAATTCCAATATTTCTTAGCATGTGTATTTGTGAAAACAATACCTCCATTAGCATGTTTTGGCAATAGATTTTATCAGCACCATTTAATCATTTCAGTACCATTAGTTGTAATCACGATTTATTTTTAGCCTCACACCACACACCGACTGCAATGAAAGGATGCCAACAGGAAACAGGAAAAGTATGGTAAATTGAGATTATGAAAATTGAGTTCATATTTAATAGGCACAATGTGCTACATAACATACTACACAGTCAAGCAAAATTATGCAACTTATGCTACTGTTGTCCATACTAACTGCACTGTTGATTAATTACATGCAAGACGTACCACGATTATCTGACTTGTACATGTATACGGCAAATAAATTGTTTCAACAGGAAGAAAACTCATTGGAAGAACAGCTGGTGAATGACTTTGCATTAATCCACAAATTTCTATAGGCAAGATCTGAAGGTTGGACAATCCCTGGAGGACATGAACACCTGTTAAGACTTTAATGCAAGATCAAATGACAATTCCATTTCCTCAAACATGAAATGGAGCACAACATACTATTAGAAAAATCCTTGTCACGTAAACCGGCCGAGTGATAACGAAGATTTACAATTACACTGCAGTTTTATTATGAAGTCCCACAAGGCATGTTCAAGAAAAATATAACACATCTTCCTCTGGTTATAACCCTTTTGGGGACACAGTAACCTTACAAGGTGAAACAGAAAAACATCACAGCTGAAGCAAAGTTGTAAAGTTTAAAATTCATCGAGTAACTTAATTTCCAACAGCATACTTTTCTGAGTATAAGGGCTTGATATTTAAAATGCTTTGAGCTTTGCAGTCATCTTTAATACACCGCATGTACATACAGGCTACAGGTGTTAAATGTCTTACATCTGTGGTGCAATGTTATTCAGAAAGATACAATGTACTTGTAAAAGAAGTGATGTTTTTCCAAAGCATTGAAGGCAAATGACCATAGGTAGCATGCCATTCCCACATGTATTAACTATCTAGTTAATGGTACTGACCTCAACTCAAATCTTTAGGCTCTTGTGATATAATGGATAGGTTTACCAACTCAGGAGCTACATGTACAGGGGACTCCCAAAGAGATTTTTTTTATTGTCACAGTGGTGTTTGAAGGAGGTACACAAGGCTTTTGCCACATGCTGGCACATTGACAAAAGTGATGTATTACGCCCCAAAATAACAACCCAAACCCAGTTGAGCAATGCGGACGGCATGACATCTTGGCTGGTGACCTCTGTGTGTGTGTGCTTGCTTAGTGGTTCTTCTGGCAGGCACAAACAAAAGAAAGCTTCTTGAACCTACGTGTATTTTGCTTTAAAGTTGTTAGTCATTGTGATTCAGGAAGGTGCATCTTACACCTGGGATGCATTCTACGTGTCATTTTTCCAGCGGGGTGCGCCAAGCATAGCAAATGGGAGGTTTAACATTTTGTCGCTGTATGAGGACGGATGCATGTGTATGTGTAGGGAAATCACAAATACAACACATCATTCTTAGACAAGCAAACTGTTCTCATTAGACCAACAGGGGAAGGAATAACAAATACTTCTGAAGATCTTTGAGCTCCTGTCCCAATCAGTGGTTTGTCACTTTGATCACATCCCTCTACCTGTACGTCCTGGTTGTTCGCCTGGCTCCACTCCCCCCCCCAAGAGTAAAGACAACTACAAATTTCTCATTAAAAGCGTTAATGCACGTAGTTTGTTTTGCTCTATATTCACAAAAAAAAGCGATATTATGTACATGTTGCTGGAAACGTCGTGTGGAAGTTTACTTCAGCTTTTCTACACTACACGTAAACTACATTTGTTTTTCCAAAGAACATGCATTTTTAACTTCATTGGTATTTTTAGAAAACGCTAACTGGTGAAAGGCGCGTCAAAAATGCGCAATCCAAGCAACTCCTTATTGCTGTTGATATTCAAACAAGGTATGGTTTGCAGATGATGCAGTTAGCCTAAGTAACGAAGCCTTGATTTCTAACCAGCATTAGTGAGGAAACGATAGATTCTACTCTACTTTTAATCATGCATTTCTTCTGCCTTCTCTTAATATTGTTAATAATCATGTAGGGGAAATATACACCAACTTAACTGAAAGAAAAATGTGTCTTTTATAAAGCTATCATTAGTAACAAAAGCATCAAAACAATTACACTTCCCTCTTCTTGCGGTATGTTAATATATGCAATCATCACATTTATGCAACAACAAAAGCTTCCATGCTTTTTATCCATAATTCATAGGTTTAAACTGTTAAGAAAATACAACTTTTTGTTCTTTTAGTAACAGACCAAAAAATTTCGAGTCCATGTACTACAGTCTGACAAATTTTCTTATTAACATTTCATGCAAAGTGCATTTGCTGTTCAACGTGGATTTTTATGAGCTTCATGAACTACTCAGCGGCCATTCTAGAAATGATCCAGGATGTGAATTAGATTGAACTGTTCCATGGAATCTGACATGCAGTTCTCGTGCAGCATAGAAAATGGCTTCTTTTTTTTTTTTACACGTTATCAATTTAAGCCTCCTAAGTTTAGCACCATAACAACGGCCAAACAACACAGGCTGCACATCCATACAAAGTGGGCCAAAATCATTCCTTCTTCACTTTGACAACTTTTCCTTGAAAGCAAGAGTATGTTTTATTAATTATGTCTCCTTCGACCCAATCTGCCGTGCATACAACACTTTTTTGGACAGGGGAACAAAAGCACTGCATGCACGCACTCAAAAGTGAAGTCTAGACACATGACCAGGCCATCTAGACTTTCATCAGCAAGAAGTTCAATAGCTGGAAGTTCAATTGGAAATTTGACTCCACAATCTGGCTGAAGGCACACAAAAGGCCTTCCTGCTGATAAAAGTTGTACAACCCACTGTACATGTAGACAATTTCAAGTGACGGATGGATCGAGGGTTATGCTCTTTTGGACAGTGGGAGGTTATAACTAATTTCAAAGGTCAGGGGGCAACCCAAAGGCTCACTCTAAAAACTGCTATTCAAAAGTTATTTTGGAAAGCTAGGGGAAAAAAAATGGTGACTGTTGTGGTATTGTTCAATATTGTTACTGGTCATTGCCTCATCCACACTGACAGTGTTACATATAAAGTGTACAACCTGCATTGGTAATGGAAACAGAAAAAGAAGAAATATTGGGAACGTGCAAACGAGGTCAGCCCTTATTAATGTGACTATGTCAACCCTCAAGCAACTAACACGTTTGAGCTAGTGACATGGACTTGGTCTCAAATGACCTTGCTGTGTTTGCAACACTGAATTTGGCTCACTGGACAGAGGAGCAAGCTGTAGGTACATGTATACCATTGCAACGGTCAACAATTTTTCAACTGGTCACCAAGGAAGCAAAAAACCGGATGCCACGTATTGAGCATATGATGCAGGTGGTGTTGCAGTGCATGGCAAGCCCTTCTAGCAGGCCTCGACGTAGTTGGACGGCAGCATCCCATGCTGTCCTGTCCTCTCCACCATGCCTTCCATCCAGCCGTCATCGATGACGGTCACATTGACAATCTTGTCTCCCTCCATGAAAGACACCTCGTCGTCGTCAGCAGCCGTGTAGTCGTACAAAGCCATGTATCTCGGACCCTGCCAGTGGGGAGGTGAAATTGAAGTTCCTTGTGAATGTTTGTGATGATTTTGGTGTTGATTTTTTAAACAAGAGCCCTCTGAGGTACACATACACAACACCACAGGGGGCCAGAGCATGCTCTTTCTGAACTAAAGAGTGCCTAAGTGAAAACATCACAGCAGAGTTATGAGTGCAAAGGCATTAGCACCGGAACCAGTGTATGAACCAAACTCCATTTGTTTGCACCACACTTCCGAGTTCAAATGACATCACACTTCGGTACTCCACCGGTACAAGCAACTCCATTGAGCCAAGGCTCAATCATTAATAATCGAGTCACCATCATGAGTCTCCAACTCTGTCATCATTATCCAATTTGAAAAGAAAAAGATTCACAAAGAAAGGACATTAAAAACAGGTGCACCTGCGCATGTGAAACAGCAGTCGGACTTGAGGATCAGCGTAAGAGAGAAAATTGGACAGCCTGTCAAGATGTTGACAATGCCTGTCCTGCAAAGCATTACCCGCATGTGCTTTTGCTGGGTTATTGGCATGCTTTGTGTCGTGAGCAGATTTGTACTTACAGATGCTGCCGGAGGTGCTTGGGCTGCTGGTTGTGGTGGAGGCTCATAACCGCCCGAGGGTTGAACTAAAGAGGACAAGAAAATGAAACAGCCAAAGTTTCTAACATTGTTCTAAAATCCAGGTGTCATCTTACCCAAGGTTATACCAAGGTGGGTGTGGGTTTGTGCGTGTGTGCATGTTTACTGGAATAAGATATTCAAAATTGCCCAGCCAAGATTAACCATGAGGTTTGGAGAAACATGATTGTCAAAATAGACATGAGGATTCCAGTTGTTGAAACAAAGGAATCCTGTCGCTGTCTGCTTCTGTGACTTCAAAGGGGGAGGGGGCCACATTATGCAGAGAAGCAAAATCCAAAGGCTAGACTGGTGAGACGGTGTGGGGTTCCACTGTTAATCTTCCTCATGTCCACCTCATACACATACATGTATTAGTCATGACAGTCGGCACAATACACCGGTGTAGTCCTCCAACCTTGTATTTCAACTGTATCTGAGACAGGACAACTACTGCTACAGTTTGCTGTTACAAAATCTTACCATCTAACATGTCTAAGGGTTACTAGTGAGATGCAGCTAAGTTACAGTACATGTATTTGACATTTGGTGGGCTGGGGTACTTCATATATGTATACATGTATTTATTCATTTCCAAACTTGCCGGTACAATGACAGTCGTTTACTACTACGTGTAGTTATTACAAGCCTAC